TCGCATAAGATTGCTAAGGCTGAGCGTGCGATTTATGGTCTGAAGCAGAGCGGTAGGCAGTGGGGGTACCACGCTGCTGACACGCTAGTTGAGAACGGGTTCGAGCAGTGCAAGGCGGACCCGTGTGTTTTCCTCAAGATGGTAGACGAAGTCGTGGTGATGATTAGCGTGATTTACGTGGATGACATTTTGGTGGCTGGGTCTGACGAGAATTGCGAGGAGTTGCTTGCTTCTCTCAACAAGAAAGTCAAGGAGGCGTTGTTTGTGCGTGCTGTGCTTTCGTTTGTTGCCCCAGAGACCAGAGGTAGAAGCATCCAGGTCATTGAGGACAACCAGGGGGCCATGGCGTTGGTGCAGAACCCTCTCAGCTCAGGTAGCACGAAACACATCGACGTGGGATTCCATTTCATCCGCGGATTGTTTAGGTTGGGGGATATTTCGGTCAAGTTCGTTCCGACAACGGAGCAACACGCGGACCTCCTAACCAAGGCCCTTAGCAGGGCCAGCCTGCAGTACCACCGGTGCAAGTTGATGAATTTGTTGGAGTAGCTGTAGCAATTTCTAACATTTGGGAGAGGCCATGTTTTCCATGCGGGGAAAGGCCCATAACTGTTGCGGTCTGTGTACCAATGGCAGGAGTAGGGGGCGTTGGGAGACCATCGTCCGGGGGAACGTAGTTCCTCGCGTTCTTGTCTTCGCCTTGGCCTTTCTAATAAGTGCNGGAGTAGGGGGCGTTGGGAGACCATCGTCCGGGGGAACGTAGTTCCTCGCGTTCTTGTCTTCGCCTTGGCCTTTCTAACAAGTGCGGCCGTTGTGATCCGCTGTGATAGCGACGGTTTTTGTGGTGGTAGGGTTATTTTTTTCGAGATGTGTCGCCCGGACGCCGGGTTTCCCCTCCATATATTTTTTTTATATTACCATGTTGGTATTTTCTGATGTATCCAGGAGCGATTCTCAAGGAGTGAAGCCGTGGGCGGTAGCTTGCTCCTAGAGATAGATAAAGGTTCTGTCGTTGACACGCTTGTCCACGACCACGTTGAGATGGGATAGTTGCTTGTTATTGCTGAGAGACGATCAGCAAGGGTCTGGGGTGAAGTGGGGATCTAGCTTCATCTCAGGGGGTACACAGAGTAGACAATTCAAATGGGGTAGGGGTCAGATGTTATACCTCCTGACCGACCCGCATCCTATCAACAATAAGATGTACCCTATTCATGCTAGCAGCCACACTCATTAACACTAGCCCACCCTGAATATCATATATATATGCAGATTCTATACTCAAATCAATGCTCAAATCCTAAAGCTACAGTAAGATTTAGCTGATGATTTATGATCATGAATCGAAGATATGACTCTTCACAAAACATCCAAAAGGAGGGTGAGTTGTAGCAATATCCCGAATCAATCCCCCACACCATCATTGAGATGAAGAATGCCAACGGTCACGAGACGGAACGTCGACATCTCAATGACGCCGCTTGAAGGGATAAAGCTACGAAGAATATATATTGCGGCAGAGCACGCTATCATCCTGAACAGACGACGACAGGGGGAAAAAATCAATATCCAGACACCACACACCACTCTTTGAAACGCACCCGCGCGTATCACCGCTGGAGGAATGAGGGTGACTACCCGAGCGAGTCCAAAATACGGTGACGAAACTCAAAACTCAAAAAAAAAATCGAACGAATACGGCCTTTGATACTGGACGCGACGCAAAGGGAAAACTCAACGCAGTCTAGGACGTCAACGAAGCGCAGGAGAAAAGAATGACAGGCAAAGGCACGGAGAACGATGGCCAGCGTGCCAGGGTACCCAACCCGTATACGGAGACGGCAGGGGCAAGACCTAATTAGGACCAAGGATGCAAAGCACAAGCGATTAATGCAAGAGAGGCGGTCGACGAACTGCGCCATGGCTCGCTGGCGATACGCACCATTCAAAGACATATAACACAGGACGTCGTAGAGATTCACACAACAAGACGATGACTCAGGGGCGCGACTGTGGTGAAGGCGTCGCCCGAAGGTGGCGATGATGGAGACGAAGCAGAACGAAGTGTGGGTGACGACGAAAATCCATGGGAGAAGGCGACGCCACGGGATGGAATCCCGAAGCACCAAGCGTATGCAACACTTCTGCGGCACGATGGAACAAAAACAAAAAAATAAAGACAACATTAGTTGGCAAACAGGCGGACCAGGAAAACGCGGGGGACTCGGTGTCCAAGTGTCCCGAGGCAAACATCACCGACGAAACTTGGGGAACTCTTTTTCCAAGTGTTCAGAGGCAGACAACACCGACGAAACTTCGGATGGAGCTTGTCGAGAGAACCAAAGACCAGCAACAACAACAACAACAACAAATGAGCAAAAGGCGAGAGAGAACAGACATCCAGGTCGCGGCAGTTCACTGATTCAGATGAATGCAGGCAACGAAGAAAGATCACTCGACACTGCGTGTTTCTTGAGGCGGCGTTGCCCCAGCGTCCAAAACCAAAAAATAAGCCAACGAAAGGAAAGAGACAAGACAGAAAAACAAAACAAAACAAAATAAAACAAAACGGAAGGTGACAGAAAAAAAAAAAAAACGTCGGCGAGAAGGATGGCACAAAAGACCAAAGTAGGACGATTGGTATATGAAAACGACGACGCCAAGAAGAAATGGTGGGAACAGCGGACGGTAAGGAGTCAGCAAGGAACGGAGTGCAACCACGGGTGTCGCCCAGAGGGCGCGAACGATGTTTCTCTCAACACCATGATCCACAGACGGCGTCCAAGGCGGTGGAGTAGAGATGCGCAGGCAGAGGCAGAACGCTTGGGCCTGGGTCATCCAAAAATCGAACGATGTACGAGCCGCCCTGATGAGCACCAATGCGTCCGGTCCACCACAATCCATCACGGGCCTTGTACCACAGTCGCGCGCCAACAGGGAGGGGCGAAGTGCTGAAACGGCGAAGCCAAGTCGCGTTAAGCACAAGATCAGCCCCAGGAGGCAAATAGCGTTCTCCACGATTCCGGGCTAGCTCCCGCTGTGCCGCGCGAGTCCGAGCCACTCGATATGTACGGTTACCCTGCTTGCTTTGGCAGGCCTCCCGGGACCAGTACAAGAGGATGTGTCGACGGAATAGATCAAGGTCGGATTCCCGTTCCCATGAAGGAGTAGTCAGGCCTACCCAATGCGTCTGGTACAGGACAGCGAGAACGCCGCTACGGCCCCGCACCAGTTGAGTCCCGAGATGTAGTCGACCTCGGGCGCCCGACAGGCACCGACACATCATCCGCGGTGACGTGGGAAGGTGGACATTCATCTCCAAAAGAGTGCAGAACATAACGCAAAAGCTCGGCGGGCAGAGATTGCGGCAAGCCGTCCGTCTCGTACGGATTGCGACAGGGCTTGCAACGAAGGACAGACACGCGACAACGAGCTGCCGGGCCGGAAAGATCGGAAGGCAGGTCCAGGTAGAGGAGTTTACGCGTCAACGGGCGGCCGTCCGGAGTGGCGTCGGCAGAGGTGGGACCCACCGCAAGAACTTTGTACGGCCCCGTCCAGGAAAGTGCGAATTTGGCCTTGAGCACTTGTTGGTCCGTGTCCTTCTGCACACCCTGTCGAATTGTAGCAGCCGTGTTGTACACCCAAGCCCACCCGACCACGGGAATTTGAGGGAGCTTGTGAATGGCGGCCAGCAGGGATGAATTTCGGCGTTCGACTCGCGAAATCTTCAGCGCATTGTACTCACGGACAAGTTCGTAGGCCCGGCGCTGGCGATCGACAGCCAGGTTGCAATACTCGAGCTGATCGAGGGCCAAGCTTTGATGACCACCTACTGTGGGATGATCGAAGACCGAAAGCGGGAGTCGCGGGATGCGTCCGATGTGGATCTCGTTTGGCGCTAATCCAGTAGACTGGTTCACGGAATTGTCGTAGGCAAACTCAACGTGCGGGAGATGTATGTCCCAATCGTTTTGCTGTTCGTTGACGACCACCGCAAGCATCTGGGCCATCCTGTGGTTGACGCGTTGCGTGCCGCAGTTGGTCTGTGGGTGGTAGGAGCTGGTGGTGACCTTCTTGATCTTCATCACCTCGTAGATCGCCATGGAGAGCTTCGAGCAGAAATGCAGTCCGTTGTCCGACAACAACGTAGTCGGACATCCCCACTTGGTCATGTACTGGTTGACGAACATGTGAGCAGTCCCTCTCGCCGTGAATTCCGCCGCTGTAACTGCGAACATGTCGGCTCTCCGACTGAAACGGTCTGTGAACAACAAAATGTAGGAGTTGCCCTTGGCAGTCACTGGCAGAGGTCCGAAGAAGTCGACGCCGACGACCATACCAGGCCCCTGCGGCAATGGCATAGCGATGACGGGCCACCGAGCAGTCTGACGTGAAACCTTGCGAGCTTGACACACCAAACACGCCCGAAGCCACCAGCGCACGGAACGATCCAAACCAATCCACCAGTAGAAGCGCTCGAGCAGACGCTGTGTACGATGGACGCCGAGATGGAATGACGCGGCCGTATGGCATGCATGAAGGACCCACGGACGCATCAGCATTGGCACGTAGACGCGGGGCACGCCAGTATCCGGCAGACGAGTGGTCCTGTCGCCAGAGCGCCCAACCGGCGACGTCGCCGATTTATGTACGAGGAGGGTGATGTTGTCATCGGTCGTGTGCAGTCTGGTTTTGGCCGCCAATACAGGCACATCATCTAGCCGAGGAGAGCGAAGAGAGCACAGAGAGTGAGCAAGCCCGGAGGGGGTGGGGGAGAACCGCAAGACAAAAAACGCATAGCCACCACACACTAGCTCTCCCGCTGTTGTTCCCTAGCCCAGTCCACAGTGCTGAAACTCTGAACACAAGCCCGCAAGTGGGAGGTGTCCAAATCAGAAGATTCTGAAAAAAAATCAGGCGATCCACCGGAAGAGGCGGAAGAAGGCGAAGCCTCAGCGACTGGGGCAGCCGCAGTCCGTGGTGATGTCCGCGAAGGGGACATCGTGAGTGGCGAAGTCCCGGGCGAAACCTGTAGAGAAGGCGAAGTCGGGGATGCAGGACGCGCCGCTAACGGTGAAGACACCGGTGGCGCAAGAGCAGTCGACGAAAACGCCGATGCCGGCGTTGCGGATGTCGGCAGCAGACGCGCGGCGGTCCGGTTGGTCTTGTTTGTCGAGCGGGACCTGCTAGAGCGACGGGCAGGCGACAATGTCCGAAGGACGATGGTAGCCCGCGGCTGGCGTCCGAAATAAGCGGGGCCGGTGACGGTGCCTCCGGAAACAGCGGTAGTTTTGTCCCGAGTCCGTGAAGAAATGAGCGGTCCCTGCTACGGAAGCAAAGACAAAACGTGCACACATCTAGTCGCCAAAGACGCGACAGGAGACATCACGCGGGACGCATCCGAAGTCAATGAGGAAGCAGGCTCTGAAGATGCGAGAACAGGCGAGGCGATGAAGGCCCCCGGGACCGCCGAGAATTCTCGCAGGCAATCGTTGAGTCCGTCAGAGCATCCNTCGGCAGCAGACGCGCGGCGGTCCGGTTGGTCTTGTTTGTCGAGCGGGACCTGCTAGAGCGACGGGCAGGCGACAATGTCCGAAGGACGATGGTAGCCCGCGGCTGGCGTCCGAAATAAGCGGGGCCGGTGACGGTGCCTCCGGAAACAGCGGTAGTTTTGTCCCGAGTCCGTGAAGAAATGAGCGGTCCCTGCTACGGAAGCAAAGACAAAACGTGCACACATCTAGTCGCCAAAGACGCGACAGGAGACATCACGCGGGACGCATCCGAAGTCAATGAGGAAGCAGGCTCTGAAGATGCGAGAACAGGCGAGACGATGAAGGCCCCGGGGACCGCCGAGAATTCTCGCAGGCAATCGTTGAGTCCGTCAGAGCATCCAACCGACGCGAGTGATGTCGGCGAAAATCCCCAAAATCGGAGGGCTGCAATGCTGGGGGCGAAAAGACTCCTGCCGTGCAAGGATGGCGGAGCCCACCCAAATCGACCTCCGGTGTAGACGACGAGTGATAGTTGCGCCCGCAAGCTCAAATGAGGAAAACACCCGTTTGATCGACACCATCAGTGCAGTCGGGGCCGGTTTTGTCCGTGTCTTGTGCTGGTAAAGGCAACCGCGAAAGAAAATCCGCGTTGCCGTTTGCCGAACCTTTCCGATATTTCAGGGTGTAGGTGAAGTTGGACAGGAATTCCAGCCATCGTTGCACCCTAGCGTTGTGTTCCCCAACCTTGCCGATCCTCTCCAAGGCTTTGTGGTCCAGATAGATGATGAACCTGGTCGACCACAGATACCCGCGATTGCGTTTGATGGCCCAAACAATGCCACCAGCCTCCAGATCCAAAACGGTCCAGTTGCGCTCCGCAGCAAGAGTAGCGCGGCTGATGTACATGATGGGTCTCACCGAGCCATCGAGCTGTTCTTGTTCCAAGGAAGCGCCAAAACCGTCGATGCACGCGTCGGAACACAAACCAAGAGGACGGCTGTTGTCCTCGAATGCTGCCCAATCCGGGAAGGCCAAAATCGGGGGGCGAGCGAGTTCGCTTAACAACGTTTTGACAACCTTGACCATGCCCGGGACCTGCTGGGACAGAAAGCGTGAACGGCATGATGGTGCAGGAACCAAAATCGGTTTTCGAAGAAGATGACACGTCAGAATACTCCACAAGGGCGTCGGCCAAACGATCAATAGCCTCCGGTGTCCATCCCGGATTGTGTAGATCCACAGCGATGTCGTGCATATGTGCGGGCAGCCTAGCCCACAAGCGCATGAAGCTGGAGCGCTGTGCCTCAGAGAAGCAGTCAAGTAGTTCTTGTGGAGGCGGCTTCGGAGGAGGCGGGGCGGAGGCTGGGTCCGGAGGGCGGTGAGTCCCGGACTTGGGACCAACGGCGTTGACCCGAGGTGGTGATGTAGATGTTGTGGGGCCGGTAGGAATCGAAGATGGTGCCACCTTCGGGGTTTCCACCGGCACTCGTTGTAGCGGCGCGGCAGACACTCCAATTACGTCTCCCGGCTCGAGCTCGGCACAACCTGAAAGGGGAATAGGCTGGAGACCATTGGAAACGAACGCATCTGGGGACGAAAGCGCACCCGATACTAGGTACTCTCCAATCAGCGCAGGCATGCCAGAAGAACGAACGAGGTCCACCTCAACGAGTGCAGGCTCCGGCCCCAAAGAAATTTCCGATCTCCCTGCATATTTAAGGTGAAACGAGGAGGCAAGAGCGTCGTCGTGTGTAGCGTAAACGCAAGCGCCAGCTGTAACACGCGGAGAGAGCGTGAGCTCGCCCATAAGCCGGCCGTCTGGTCCAGGGTGGGGGAGGGTGGTGAACACGCGAGAGTTGAAGCGCATCCAGCCATCATGACCCAGAAGCACGGCGTGCCCCATGGGGGCGTCTGGAACAACACAAGCCCAGACCGCCAAGGAAGCGGTAGCTCTATCGCCATGGAGAAAATTAATGGTAAGACGAATTGACCAGGTGGTCACAAGGGCGGGTCCATCACCAAACCCACCCCAACGACGAGAGGGCGAAACACGAACGCTGCTAGCTGTCAGGGCTCCGGCAGCTATCATGGCGGTGACCACGGAGTCGGAAACGAAGGATGCAGGAGACCCAGAGTCCAGAAGCGCCACTCGCGCGAGTTGAGACGTGGCTGTAGGTCCTCCATGCAGCAGGACCCGGGTGGTGTATGAGTCCGAGTCCAACAGGAGCGTGCCGCCGACCAGATCGGGTCCATGTTCGAGAAGAGGAGGCTGGTCTGCACAAGCGGAGGTCGATGCCACCANTCGATCAGATCGGGCCCATGTTCGAGAAGAGGAGGCTGGTCTGCACAAGCGGAGGTCGATGCCACCAGATGAACNGCCGGCCGTCTGGTCCAGGGTGGGGGAGGGTGGTGAACACGCGAGAGTTGAAGCGCATCCAGCCATCATGACCCAGAAGCACGGCGTGCCCCATGGGGGCGTCTGGAACAACACAAGCCCAGACCGCCAAGGAAGCGGTAGCTCTATCGCCATGGAGAAAATTAATGGTAAGACGAATTGACCAGGTGGTCACAAGGGCGGGTCCATCACCAAACCCACCCCAACGACGAGAGGGCGAAACACGAACGCTGCTAGCTGTCAGGGCTCCGGCAGCTATCATGGCGGTGACCACGGAGTCGGAAACGAAGGATGCAGGAGACCCAGAGTCCAGAAGCGCCACTCGCGCGAGTTGAGAAGTGGCTGTAGGTCCTCCATGCAGCAGGACCCGGGTGGTGTATGAGTCCGAGTCCAACAGGAGCGTGCCGTCGATCAGATCGGGCCCATGTTCGAGAAGAGGAGGCTGGTCTGCACAAGCGGAGGTCGATGCCACCAGATGAACACCAGGAGCATGGTCCCCCGGAGCGTCCAAACGTAGACAAGTCGGGTCTTCGCCCGGGTCCTTCCGTAGCGAAGAACCTGTCGCAGTAGCAACCTCATGAATGTGTCGATGTCCATGGAGAAGAGGCTGCGAATGGGGGGCGTGGGAGAATTGGAAGCGGGGAAATCTTCGCCAGACAGGGGATGATCACGCAGAAGGCGTCGAACTTCCATCAAAGTTTTTCCCAACAAGTTTTTACCGCTAGCCGCCCACTTGGATGAAACGTTAGTATCTGGAAAGCATGCAGACATGCCGATACCCCAAACACGATCGAAGGGGCTGGCTTCTACAAGGAGGCGGGTACCCGTCTCCAGTAGATGATGCTTCATGTCATGGCTTTGAGCAAATTTGGCGTACGACCCCGTAAGCACGATCTCTTCACGACGACGCTCCCATTCAGCATAGTCGAAAGGACGCACATTTCGACCTAAAACCTTGTGTGTCATAGGATCTGTTGCAGCCATAATTTTGTCATACGACGTCATATCTCCAAACAACTTCGCTTTTTCAGACATCATAAATTGCTCACCACATGAATAACGTACCCCCAGTACGTCAAAAGCTGAAGGAGTCAATTGCGAGAACACAGACGGAAGTTTCCAGGAAAGAAGGACGTCATCCGAAGCGTACTCGCACTTGTCATCAAACGGCGGAGCCGGTGCAGGGCGAAGGGGCAAAGAGCGGGCACCAGGCACAGGCGAGGATGGACCAGGCGGACGGGTCCTCTTCTCCGACGGGGAGGACCCAGGAAGCGAGGCAGGAGCGGGCGAAGTCGCAACGCTCCGTGATCCGGAGGGCGGCGTTAGGGCGGCGGCTCCGGCGGGCTCAATGTTAGCATGGGCCATTCGGCCATTAGAGACCCGTTCGATAGGAGAAGTCATTCCTGCAACAGACGGATGTTTGATCATTGACGCAGGGTGCTCTTGACTACTCCCCCTTGACAAAGAGCCGAACCTTCCACGGAATGGTGGGCACTACCATCCGATCCCGATGGCAGTGGTGCAGTCAGCACGTGGTGGGCAGCAGGGAAAGACGCATTTGTATCAGGTGCTGTCACCCGGGGGCAGCGGACGGTCGAAGACAACGAAAGCTGCGAAAGAGAAGGAGGATCGACGGGGTTCCCGACGAGTGTAGAAGAAGGCTCGTGTGTGATCCGAGAAGAGGCCCGGCTGACAACACCAGGAGAGTCTTGACGAATAGTAGAAGACGAGGTTCTTGTTCCTTCTGTAACCCGAGACGACGAGGTGAGGACCGTTTGACGTCTTACCTCCCTGTCGCCCACACCACAAAGGTACTGCCGAAATGGGTCTGTCATGTCCATCACCAGCAGGCGATGAGGCGGACGACGAAGAGGCGGGCCGAGAAACTAGATGTGATTTAGGAGCGTGGGGAGTATCCAAAGAAATAGGCTGTACACGAACATCTTGGGAGACTCCAAAAGGGTGCACGGTGGTTGCTGTTGACGGTAGTACCGGCTGAACTCCGCCATCGGCTTGTCATTTCTTGCCCCTCAAGCCATTTTTTGTCGAAGTGGAAGCGCCCGACGAGTGCTCTGTGTGTGAGGACTGTTTCGTGTCAGATGTGTCAGATGAGCGGCGGGCGCGTCCTAAGGGGTGATTTCNAGGGCACCAGGCACAGGCGAGGATGGACCAGGCGGACGGGTCCTCTTCTCCGACGGGGAGGACCCAGGAAGCGAGGCAGGAGCGGGCGAAGTCGCAACGCTCCGTGATCCGGAGGGCGGCGTTAGGGCGGCGGCTCCGGCGGGCTCAATGTTAGCATGGGCCATTCGGCCATTAGAGACCCGTTCGATAGGAGAAGTCATTCCTGCAACAGACGGATGTTTGATCATTGACGCAGGGTGCTCTTGACTACTCCCCCTTGACAAAGAGCCGAACCTTCCACGGAATGGTGGGCACTACCATCCGATCCCGATGGCAGTGGTGCAGTCAGCACGTGGTGGGCAGCAGGGAAAGACGCATTTGTATCAGGTGCTGTCACCCGGGGGCAGCGGACGGTCGAAGACAACGAAAGCTGCGAAAGAGAAGGAGGATCGACGGGGTTCCCGACGAGTGTAGAAGAAGGCTCGTGTGTGATCCGAGAAGAGGCCCGGCTGACAACACCAGGAGAGTCTTGACGAATAGTAGAAGACGAGGTTCTTGTTCCTTCTGTAACCCGAGACGACGAGGTGAGGACCGTTTGACGTCTTACCTCCCTGTCGCCCACACCACAAAGGTACTGCCGAAATGGGTCTGTCATGTCCATCACCAGCAGGCGATGAGGCGGACGACGAAGAGGCGGGCCGAAAAACTAGATGTGATTTAGGAGAATATCCAAAGAAATAGGCTGTACACGAACATCTTGGGAGACTCCAAAAGGGNGACCGTTTGACGTCTTACCTCCCTGTCGCCCACACCACAAAGGTACTGCCGAAATGGGTCTGTCATGTCCATCACCAGCAGGCGATGAGGCGGACGACGAAGAGGCGGGCCGAGAAACTAGATGTGATTTAGGAGCGTGGGGAGTATCCAAAGAAATATACCATACACGAACATCTTGGGAGACTCGTAAAGGGTGCACGGTGGTTGCTGTTGACGGTTGTACCGGCTGAACTCCNTCCTGTAGGACGTCTATTCGAGGTCATGCGCTTTTTCCACGACCCCAAAGGGTGGGATCTTTTACCATACAGAACTTGATGTCATTGTTGAGCAAGCCGGCGGCATTCACGAAACCACGATTACAGGATTTGAAGTAGTGGTCTTCTCCTAAGCAGTTGAGGCACATGCCCTTGCACAGTCGAAGCGCGTTGCGGCGCTCTTCAGCCGAGACCAAGGGGGTGAACAATGGCGGATCATTCTTGGTTAGAGCCATCTCACTAGCGACGTTGTACACCTCTTGGAAGTGTCCTTGCAACGGCCAGTCGCTGTAGTGCAACAGAAAAGGGTCCCGATCATCATTAGGTAGAGGGTCAACACTCATCACGGCGGTCGAAGAACCTTGGCTCCACGAAGGGGTCACCGTCGAACGCAACGCCGAAGAAGCTACAGCACGCGAAACCCCAGACGAACTCCTAGCATTCGTGGAAGATACCGAAAATAAATCATCTCCATGCACCGCCGGCGTGTGCGCGAACGCACGCTTGTCCAACACATCCCACATATCATCCAGACACGAAGCATGTTGCCCAAAAGGGGCTTCCATGGAGAATTGCTCATCCTTGTACACCTGCCCAGACGCTACCGGAAACTGCTTCAACATGGAGTCTCGAACAGCTATCTACACTTGCGCATCCGAAGTCTTGAACGCGTGGTGGGAAACCATGACGGTCATGGCCAGAGCCTTATAGCGACGAATGTATTATCCGTAAATCTCGCCGTTGGATACGCCAAATCTGCGAAGACGATCAATCCCCGAGCTCTTGTCTTGAGTGTCCCAGGCAGCCGCCAATTTCTGGATGAAGAAGGCGTACGTCGAGGGCTCTGCCGGTTCCTTGTGCAGATGGTTTTCTACCTGTAGGAAGGTGGCATCAAGAAATTTCAGCGTGGCACGGTTGGTTGTTTGGCCTTGAACGACAGCAGCACGGACACGTTTGCGTAACAAGGGAAGCCATCCGGTGACCCAGGTGGAGAAATTGAAAGTCTGCTTGCGCTTGACGTCACTATTGTTGAGGATCTCTGTGACCACACCCTTGCAGTTAGACGCGAAGCGAGCAAATTCATCAGGATCAGGACCGAGGGGCAAGCGTGTGACACGACCAAGTTGTTCCGGCTTCAGCTTGTCCATCTTGTCTTGAATGCGGATGGTGTCGGCCTCCGCTGCAGCGGCGTCCGCAGCGTGCAGAGCCTCCTGCCTCGCTCTTGCTCCTGTTGAAGACAAAGGCAAACCAGCATCGTCCTGTGGCAACGGTGATGCCGCTTGACTCGGTGGCTCGACAATGTGGCCGGTTGCAGAGTCAGGATCAATCAGAACAGACGCACGCTGGAGGGTGGGGGGCGATACCACCAGAGGCTGTTGCAACAGGGCTGGGGCTGTCGACGCTGACGGTGCCACCGCAGGCTCGACCGGTACTGTCGCCAACCTCGTGGCTGATGACGATGATCCGGGCGTGGTCCTGGCAGCGGTTTCGGCACGAACATTGCGTCCCACAGGAGCTCCCGAAAAGCTCGAAGCGTGGTCTTGCATCGGTATCGGACGCGTTGGTGGGGACGAAGATGGGGCAGGTGGTGGCACGCTAGGAGCGTGGGGGGGCACAGGAGGTTGTACATTCGCGTCGGCAGCAGCATCCACTACTTGATTTGCTCGCAGGAGAGTGAGTACTTGTTCCAACAGCATTTCAGTGCGGGAAGCCGAAGTCGAGGCGTGTGATGCAGCATGGCGTGGTGACTCAACACGTTCGTCCAAAGCCAAGGAAGATGTGGGATGACCCATAACGGCATGGGCAGGGGCATGGCTTTTCACAGCGGCTGAACGTTCACGAAGTTGCATGTTGGCAAGTTTGAAAGCCAATGAAGACCTGGTCGGTTGGCCTACATCAGCGGGAGGGCGTAGAACAAGCGGTGAAGAACAGATAGAACCGTCTTCTGAAGCATCCTTGTGTTCCCCCAACAACCCAGAGCTACAATAATCACCTCGATCATACATCACTTGCCTGTTACCGTGGCCTGACGTCCGTCCCCCTTTTCCGCCGCGACTGCTGTCAGTGCTGGTCGCCCTGCTGTTGCCCCCGCTCTGGTTCTGGCTCCGGCTGCGGCTACGCCTAGACGGAGGCGTGTTTCTCCCACGACGGTCTCCGCTCCGACTGCGCCCACGCCTAGACGAAGGATTGGTGCGCTGTTGACGTTCTGCGCTCCGACTCCTGCTCCGGCGATGGCGACTCGCCGGCGAAGACCTGGTAGGCTGGTTCCCTACAGCTCGCCCTCGCCTGTTATCTCCGACGCCGTGCCCTCGCGAAGACTGGGTGGAGCAGCGGTAGTCGTCCGTTCCGCTCTTGGCCGTCGAATCCCGGTCGCCCCAGCGGTTCTTCCAGCTCTTGGACACCGGAGCCGCCGACCAACTGTAGTCCTTGTCCTCTCCAACCATGCGCAAGGCGTGAAGAGGCCTGCCGGGGGGCTTGTAGATCGTGCTTGAAGTCGTTGGTCGAGGCAGCACGAGCAAGAGGCAGCTGGAGTCCTCCCTCCTGGGTCACCACCGACGTTCCTTGAGGACCTTCAGGAAAGGTGGCACGACGGAGAGCGAACAAAAGCTGGAACACGGACTGCTGCGAAGAAGGCGGAAGTTTCGCGATGTACGGGGTGTGATAGATGTGCCCGAAAGCAACGTTGTGCGGTGGGGGGAATTGTGCACGGACAAGTTGTTTGATGCCAGCCCATGCAAAAAGAGCTGCCAATTTGTCCTCATCGTGGAACGGGACACCTTTTGCAGGCACCTCCAGCGGGCGGGACAGGAACGCTGTATCTCCAACGTGGAACTCGTACACCGTGGTTGCCGCCGCAAACGATGCTCCGTCTTCAGCACCGGCCGGAAGACCCAA